GTCTTTTTACAACTTTTATGTAATTATCGTAACTATGTAGATAAGAGTACATCTCTGTATTATCAATCAACTAACACCAAATAAACCTGCTTGGAAACGTGTAATTAAAATAATGACGTATGTGTTTTCAGTTACACAAATTTTTACCTAAACTGGTTATTAAAGCTGAAAAGTTGGTCGTAATTCAAAATTAATATATTGAATACTAAATTAGGAAGGTTGTACTCTTGTCAGTATTGTACCTTCCTTCCTGAATGACCCAATTTGGAAGTAACAGGAAATGCAAATGAAGTAAATTTATTCTAAAATTACCTCGTAAATAGTGTTATTCAAAGAAAACATTCTAAATTAAATATATAAGATGTACTTAAAATGTAAAATGTGCGTAGAAGAAGCTTGTAATATGGAAGCACATTTTGTTTTTCCTACGTAACATTGATAATTATTTTTATAAATCGACAAAAATTAAGCATCAACCAGTATCTTGTTTAGTGATTAATTTGAAAGTAATAAAATTAACCTGTGATCTGTGATCCATTTTTGGTTGATTTTAATAAAGATGGGTACACCGACAAAAGTTCTCAAACCAATTCAAAGAAATTCAAAGAAGGAGGAGTTATAATAGAACAGGATGCATTTTTTTACCTGATTTATTAAATGCTGATGGTAAATATGTCATGAGAATGGCTTTAGAAGGCTGGATCGATGGAGTAACGGTGGCTGGTAGAGCAATCTCCAATTTAAGATTTGCCGATAATACTACACTTATAGCAACAAATAAATAAAGAAAGACTAGATCTTCTGCCTAAAGTTGAGTGAAAAAGTAATAAAGTTGGTCTTAAAATTAATAAAGGCAAGAAGAAAGTAATTGTGGTAGACTATCTAGTGGTTAAAGACTGCAAAAAATGTAATGAGTCGCATAACTACAGTTTGGAAAGACAGATGATCTATCTCTCAAAAATCAAGATGAGACTGCTGAATGGACTTCTATTCTCAATATTTCTATAAAGGGAGGAAACAGGGAGTCTTCCAGCACAATAATGCCAAAAAATTAATACCTTTGAGATTTGGAGTTTGAGAAGAATGCTGCGCATATCTTGGACGGCTCATCGTATAAACTTGTTCATTCTTAACTAACTTGATATTAAAAAAAGGCTGTTTACACCATTTTTGAAGCGAATTCTATAGTTCTTTGGTTGCTTGGTTTACATCAGTAACGATAATTTAGAGATTAGTTATTGTTTCTGGGAATGTTCCAGGGAGAAGATCAAGAGGACAATATCCAACCAAATGGTCTGACCAAATTAAAAATTCAGTAATTCTTGAGTGAATTTAAGTGATTCTGAGTACTTAACTGACTATGGATTAAAAAATTCTTTAAACAAATTATTTCCTGTCAATAATGTTTTGTTGTGTTTTGAGGTAATACATAGTTTCAGCTATTTCGGATTACTTTGTGATAGTAATGTCATTTTTTATTCTTACGATATTTACACTTTTCTCTTTATCTTATGAATATCCCATTTCTGCTTTTTTGAGATTATTTAAAACAGTGGCGCCCTTTTTTTGAGTTTTTTTATTTCCTGTTCTTTTTTGTTATTTGTGGCAGTCTTTCTTGTGTTTAATCTCAGTCGTGTTACTCACTCCTGGTAATCTACCAGGACTAACAAAGGTACCTTTGGGCATCTAGTGTATCCGTATTTTAAGTTTACTTCTTCATAATCTAGCTCACGTGTATGGTAACAGCATTCCAAATATATAAAATTGTTTTGAAGCTGTTTTCTGTTGGCATTTTAAAGTTATTATATTTTAATGGAAATAAGCCACAATTAAAGGTTAAAATTAAAGTAAAGTAAAGTGAGCCTTTGCAATTCGGGGATTCCCTTGTTACATGATGAACCTAATACATAATTGCGAGTTTCGCATTGAAAGGGATAACCTGTTATTGTTTTAAAATAATGATTCTCTTAGCGGTGCAAATGAAAATTACCCACCCAGACGAACTCTATTATCGGTCCCAGTGGGAAATAGGAGTAGAGGTAGACCACGACTGAGATGGAGGGACGGTGTGGACGAAGACGCAAGGAAAATCGGCCCGGCAAATTGGCAACGGTTGGCGATGAACAGAAACGACTGGCGAAATAGACTGGGGAAGGTCAAGGCTCAACTAGAGCTGTAGCACCACTGATGATGATGATGAGTCTCTTAGCGGTGCTTCGTTTTATAATAAGTTATTTAAAGTTTTTCTGATTTCAAGTTGCAGTATATAATAAGCAGCACGGCTTTCGGATTAAAAGATTTCAAGTGAGTGTCGTAAAGTTTTATTTTTCAGTAGAAGAGGTTTTTGCCATCTCAATATCGTAAGTCTAATTTTTTTATTTCTTTTTTTAAGATTTTATTTGACCCAATGGAGAAAAAAAAACATCAAAAACAATCAATTATTGCAATTTTAAATCGACTAGAAAAACGAGAAGAATCCTCGGCAGTTAGAAAACATTTTAATTTAGGCAAATCAACTGTAAGAGCAATTAAGAAGAATGAAGTTGCTATAAGAAAATCTATGATTTCTATTACAAAATTAAGCGCCAAATTTTCATCTTACTCAACGGATGAATCATTAGAAAGAACAGAAAGGGCCATCGCAATTTGGATTGGGAGACTTCAAAAAATATTTCCTGTAAGTGGTTATTTAGTCCATGAAAAAGCTCTTCAGTTCTATGAGTTATTGAAACAGTCAGAGCCACCAACTTCCACTTCCCAAGCTGGTTTAAAATTTTCAGCTAGCAAAGGATGGCTAATCGGGTTTATAAGAAGAAATGCATTTCATAATATCAAGATCACAGGAGAGAGTGCTACATCAGATAAACAACAGCAAAAATATTTCCACAGGAGCTAGCGAAAATGATTGAAGATGGGGACTATTGTGCAGACCAAGTATTTAATGCTGATGAAACGGGACTGTATTGGAAACATATGTCTAACCGTACTTACATTGCAAAGCATAAAAAAACTACAAGTGGACATAAATCAAGTAAAGATCGAGTAATATTATTGCATATTTTGTAGCAATACATTAGGGGATAGGATGTTGAAACCGCTCTGTATAAATAAATCTCTTAGACCACGTGCTTTGAAAGGCGTAAAATTTTATTTTTTAAATTAAAAGCAGTTGATGTTAGAACATTGATAGAAAAAAAATATGATTTAAACTGAAAGATTATTGAAGAATTTTAGCTAGAAGCTGAAGCTGTTTTAAACACGTTTTAGAACGAGGCAACTTTGAAAAACATTTACCTGTAGACGAAGTTCAGAAATAATTAGTTTACTTTCAACAACAATACCAGTAAAATAAACAGGTTCCTACAATAATACAATAAATATATATAAACAGTCTCAAAAACGAATAGAAATATGGACCAGTTTTCTCCTAGAATAATACCAAAATACACTTTACAAGTAAAACAAGAAAAAGCAAATGATTTTAACAAGAAAGCTTGAATGACAACAACTATTTTTACAGAATGGGTTAATAATTGCTTCGTGTCAGAAGTAGAAGCCTATATGAAGAAAAATGAAGGATTTTACAGTGTTAATAATTATTGACAATGCAGCAGGTTATCCACACTTAGAACATCCAAACGTGCGAATAGTATAAATAGTATTGCTTGTGGATGATGCATTAAGTGACCATGATTTAATTGATCAAACTTTAGATCTAACTTAAGATGGTGTCGTGAGTCTAGAAGATGATAATGATTTGGAAGAAAAACCAACCACCTCACTACCAAATTAATTTTAGGTGGTCTTCAACTTTGCAGTAAATGACACCAATTCTGAACCAGCCTTTTAATTACAACGTAAGCTGCATAACTGCATGTCAGGATATCGTGAGCTACATAAAAATTGTTAGCATCATCATCGCAAAGTTTAATTACTTATTACATGGTCAGAAAAGGAATATCTACACAGAACGAGAATGAAATTTGTTAAAATTCATCGCCTTTGCCGCAAATATCTATTGCAGAGACTGTTTCTTCTCACAATGAAGATTATTTTGAGCCACTTCGCAAACCATTATCCGATACCGATAATAATTAAAAATGTAAATGTAAATTTATATATACCTATTACTTTCCCATAAAATTAAATTAATTAATTTTTTTTAAGCTTTTGTATGAATTTCTTTCATATATTCTAAGTAATTTATCATGCAGCCTATTTCTTTTAATTTCTGCAAAGTTTTTTGTTTCTGTCTTGGGTTTATGTAATTTTAGAGGGCTACAGGACGTATCACTACTTTTTCAATGCAAGTAATGCCTTTTTTATGTAATTTTTTTATATGCGTTTTTCTGTGGAACGTATCCACTGCATAATACGAGACCTTACTGTATTTAATAATATATAATATGGATATATATATATATATATATATATATATATATATATATATATATATATATATATAATAAATACGGATATTTTCAAGTTAAAGTTGATTTCCTGTAATCGAATTAACTATCTTACAATAAAGTCGTCTCAGAAACGCAACTCAGCAATATTGGCAATATCATTGTTTGAATTTTCAATATAAATGAGTCAGATAAAATTAAATTACTGGAAGGATTTTTCCCAAGTTACAAAAAACAAAATTTGTATAATTTATTAATGTTTGTATTTTGAGAACGATTTCTGAAGTGGAAATTGAAACGTCAATAAACTTATTTTAAGCCTCAATTATGGCTTATTCCCATTAAAATAGTTAATATATAAAAGTGGAAAGACATAATAAACTAGTTACTTAAATGTTATGTCCTTTATTGTGGTAATAGTCCCAAAAATATTATAACTGCCACAAAAATGGATTCCCAAAAAGCTATTTCTAAATTTATTGACCAATTAAAAATTTCATAATCCGAGACATTAATTTTGCATTGTCTAACTTCTAATCTAATCCATAAATAAGGAGATGCTGGATTTATGGTTATGGTTTTTTGTTAATTGATTTCCGTTTATAGATTACAATTATTTACTTTAGATGCAATAATTGTGAAAATTCGATTATCATGTTAGACGTGGAAACACCTCATTGGTGGATGAACTATGCAAAATAAAAGTGCCTGAGTAAAACTAGAAAAATTAGCAATAGATTTGCTATAATAGACATAAGTTTCATATCGAGTGAATTTTCCAATATGAAGAAGTTTATATTTTTTGTTGTAGCTGTTGTAGTGGCTGTTTGGGTAAGAAAATGTTTAATTCGTGTGCTATGTTGATTTATTGCTATTTATGTTGATAAACATATTGCTTCCACAGTTTTACTAATAATTTTCCTATTTTTTTTTCTATTTTTTTCGATTTTTATTCTCCAATTAGTAATACAAAAATACTCAAAAATCATTCATAATAATTTCCACACATTTATTCAGATAAATAAATCTTTTTACGTGACAACGGTCTTCCAGAAGTGATATATTTAACAATTAATAGTCTTGATGTTTCACCTACATAAAAATGTTCGCATTTACAAGGTATTTTATAAATACTCTTTGTTCTTTCTTTTTTATTGTTAGGTTTAGTTTTAGATAAAATAGATCTAAAAATGTTCGCTGTTCACCTTCTGACAATGTGCAAGCCTATTATTAAATTCGTGAGTCACTCTTTCCAAGACTTATCCATGCATTAGTTTACATTCATTAATAATTATTTGTTTCAAATCCTGTAAACAAGTTGATCACCTAATGTAAACACGTGATATTAGATAATTTCAAAGAAAAAAATCTAACGTATCAAGCTCCAGAGATCGAGCCGACCACTCTATGATTTCCTCTACGTCTAATCCATTATTTTGAATAGTTTACATTTATCAATAATTCTTTGTTTCTAATCCTGCAAACAAGTTGATCGCCCAATGTAAACACATGATTTTAAATAAATTCAAAGAAAAAATCTAACGTATCAAGGTCTAGAGAACGAGCAGACCACTATAATTTCCTTTACGTCCAATCCATTAATTTGGAAAGTTCACATTCATCATAATTTTTCTTTCAAATCCTGCAAAGATGTTGATTTCCTAGTGTAAAGCAGCTATTTTAGATAACCTCAAAAAAATCTAACGGATTAAGGTCCGGGAAATGAGCAGGCCACTCTATAACTCCATTCTATGTATATCAATGGATTTGCAAAATTCGCATTCAAAAAATTTCTAACCAGTCGATAATAGAAGGGGAGCGCTCCATCTTGCTCAAACCAAAAGTTCTGTGGTAACTGGCCATTTTCTTGAAGTGCAAGACTAATTTTGTTATTTAGTAAATTAAAAAAATCGAAACTTCATTCGAAAAATTCAACTTTTTTGGATGTTGTTCGAACACGTTTACCATAACCGATCATTATTTTAATACATACGGTTGCTTTTATCAAACTTGGTATGAATATGAAGCTTTTAAAATCTTAAAATTATATAGGATGTTACATTTAAATTAAGTAGGTTGTTGTTGGGGGTATATTCAGCGAAACCAGAAGTAAAGTAGTAACAAAAAATGTAGCATCATATGAGTTATGTGTCATTGTACTTGCATGCAAAGTTTGATGAATATATTTTTTTCTTTCATTTCAAAGATATACTTAGTTCCATACTTTATCCCAACCCTGTACCGTGACAGTTAGTTTAAGATAATATAAATACTGTATTTTTTTCTCTTTAAATCGTATTTTTTGCAATTCTTTCCTACACTTTTCTTTTAATAGCTTGTTGATTGATCTCAAAGTCACTATTCCTATGAAAAATTATCTTCTGCCATTTATAAAAATGATCTCAGCAATATCGACCAGGTAGACGACCGGCCCGTCGATGGTAATGAGTGACTAACGACACGATCGAGATGTAGACAATTTTTTCAATGTAATTTCAACTTTTCTTTTTTGTACACCATATTTTTACATCATTTACATCATTATTTTTAATACCTACAATATTTATTAAAATAAATAATACCGAAATTAAGATGATCGTTTTTATTATTAAGAGTCATAATATCATTGCTCTAACTTAGTAGAAAAAGTTTTATCAGAGCAATATTTCCGTTTATACCATAATGAACGTAATAAGTATAAAAGTTTGAAACAAGTATTAACCCTTTCAGGACTGAATACAATCAGCAGATATCCAAAACTTTTCAAACAAAAAATACAATTGATAGTCTTATAATGGTGCCCAAAGTGATCTGTTTTTGTAAATATCATTATATCCTTTAATAAGATATGGGACAACTGTATCCCAATAGTGTTTTATATTGGGATAAAGGTCTTCTATTAGTAAACGAATAAATTTTGAAGGTAATTTTATTGAAAAAAATATCAAAAGGTCTAGTCTTCCCATAAACTGATTATAGAACATAATGGATTCAGGACATTTAATTTCAGCACCTTTCTTTCCCGCAAGTTATATAGATGTATTGTGACAGTTGAACATTAGTAATACACTTTTTGTAACTTCGTAACTTTGTCATCTATTACTCAGTACCCCAGTATCCAAAACTTGAAAATCAAACTCCTCTTTGATATCTTTTTCACTTCAAATTTTGTTCTATTTTTACGATTTCATATATATTACATATATGACAACATAAGGCAAATTTAGTTTACTAAACAATTTTAGAGATGAGAAAACATCTCTGTTTTTTCACCACAAATTTATCTAAAGTACGAGCAACAGCTTCTACCTCTTTATCAAAATAAATGTTGAAGTCATATATGTATCCGGTAAACAGTCAGACCTTTGCCACATTTTTATTCCATTTTTATAGGTTTTACTGGAATATATTGTTTTAAAGAAGACCTTCCCTTAAACTCGGTCATAGTTTCATCAATAGACTGATGAGAACTCTGTATTCTGACTTTTCCAAAAGTATGCTTCAAACATGAAACGGGTAGATAGTCGTCAGAATTTGAGCCAGAAAAAAGTTCCTCTGGTTCTGACAAGTCAATTAGTTCTTCAACAATGTTTTTCAATCCTTTTTGTCATAATTCAGGAACCTCAAATATTAGAACTGGCGTCACTATTTAGAGTCAATATAAAAACTGATGGGACACCAATGACCCGTGCCAAAAAACAACTGGGACATCCATGTCCCATTACATGAATTTTGCGAAAGCAATGACGCAAAAATGGATTTTATTAGAAATTTTACTTAATTTTGACAACGAACGCTTTCAGGGTTGTTTTTTTAGTAGTATTTTGCAAAAAAAGCAAAAACACTAAAAATGTATCACAGCAACAAAACGCAGAACTACGTTGTACAAGAACACCTATTTCTAGAAAATTTGAGGTTATATAATCGAATTGTTGGTTGCATAACATAACGAAATGTTTAGTAATACGGTTATAATATATGATTAAAGATAATTAGGAGACATATAGGCACCAGTAGAACTTAATTAATTTAATGAGAGAGATTTTGGTAGCAAGTGGTAACTCGTGACTTCTGAAAAGAGACTTCATCATTATGAACGCTGATCTCGCTTTTCCTATGCGTTGTTTTATTTCACTGGAGTGATCCCATTGACTGTTAATGTTGGTACCAAAGTATACGTAGCTTTCCACTCTGTCAATTGGATGTTGGTAAACCAAAAGCTGTGTATTTAATATTTCGTGCTTACTGACTACCATGTACTTTGTTTTCTTCATATTAAGATCAAGTCCGTGTTCTCTACTTATATCTGATGTACGCGCCATTATTCTTTGCAAACGGTCCAGACTATCTGTAAAAACTACTGCGTGGTGAAATATCTAATCTAATAGTGTTGTTTAGACGCATTCCGTTGACTAATACACCGTCTTGTAGTTCTCCTAGCGCTTGCTCAAAGATATATTCAGAGTATATATTAAATTGGATTCAGATGGCGCAAAATCGGACTAAGTGGAAGAGCATGTGAGAGGCCTATGTTCAGCAGTGGACGTTAGAGGCTAGTTGATGATGATGATGATGATATATTAAATAACACCGGGGACAGAATGCATCCTTGCCTTACTCCTCTATCTATGGAGACTGCCTCTGTCAATTGGTCATCCACTTTAATATTGGCTGTTTGGTTGTAATATAAATTATAGATGATTCTCAAGTCCCTATCATCTAACCCCACTTCTTTCAAGATATTTATAAGGTTATCATGATTTACTCCATCAAGTATACACATCACAGTTAACATCCCTGCATCTTTGCATAAGCACTTGGACAGCGAATAGAGCTTCTCGGGTGCCTAAGGAATCGCGGAATTCAAACTGCGTCCATGATACTTGTTCTTCGCATTTTTTATATATTTTGCCCTGTATCACTTTCAAGGACGTTTTAAGTAAGTGGCTCATTAGGCTAATTGTTCTGTAGTCTTCGCATGTCTTGACATTTACTTTTTTTGATATGGTCACGAAGGTCGACTTTATCTAGCTTTGCGGTATTTTTCCAGTTACGTATATGTTGTTGAATACAGTTGTTATCCATTTTATTCCCTGTTCATCCATAAGTTTTAGGAATTCTGCACAAAACTCGTCAGGTCCTACTGCTTTACCATCTTTAGTTCTTTTATTAGCTGACGTGACTTCTTCAATGGTAATCGGAGGTCGTGTTTGGCATTCAGTATCTTCAATGGTATTCTGCCTTTCATCTGCAAAAGTTACTTTCACATAATTCTTCCAAGTGTCTAGTTTTTCTTCCACAGTTAACAGTGGTTTGCCTTAGTTATCTGCCAAACACCCAATTCTTCTAGGTTTGTATAAGCCTGCGGCTTCTTTAACTTTGAATCGTGTTTATGTTGCAATTGCTGTATTTCCGCACACTGTTTTCTTAGGTGTATATTCTTAGCTATTCTAATAGATTTTTTGATCTTTTTATCGATTCTTTTCTATAATGATATGTCTTGATCTTTGAACTTTCGCCTCTCTTCCATCATATCTAGAATCTCATTTGTCATTTACGATTTCTTCTTTATTTTTGGTGGTTTGAGAAATTTCTCTCGTATGTCTTTTGAAACTGTATGTAACTTTTCTAGCTCCTGCTCCATTACATCCGATTGATTAACGGTATTCAAATTGTTATATATATACCGCTTTACACTATGTTCTGTGTGTAGGTCTTTTAACAGCTTGATGTCGAATTTTGGATTCACACTACGTCTAACCTTCTTTAGCCTGAGCCTAATTTTGCCAATCCGTGGGTTATGGTCTGATTTGATATCAGCTCCTGGATATGTCTTGACTGATGTTATGCTGTTCCGGAATCTTTTATTAATCAGAATGTAATCTACTTGATTTCTCACTATGCGGCCTGGAGTATCTTGAGGTGATTTCCATGTATATAATCTTTTGTGTGGGAGTTTGAAGTAAGTGTTAGTAATCACAAACTCTTCTTCTGCTACAAATTCACCCAGTCGGTCTCCTCGCTCATTTCTTTCTCCAAGTCCAAATTGTTCTATGATGTCTCCCGAGTGTCCCCTACCAATTTTGGCCTTTAGATCACCCATAATCAAAGTTAAATCATTTCTGGGGAGGCGTTTTAAGGTGTTCGATAGTTCGTTATAAAATGCTTCACTTATCTCGTCCGATTTGTTAGCTGTAGGGGCATATACCTGGATAATGTTAGATGTAATTGGGTAGGTATTAAGTTGAAGGAGGAGTATTCTTTCCGATATATGTACAAAGTTTTTAACATGTCTGGCAGTTTCTTGATTTAAGATTATACCTACCCCATTTTCGTGTCTTCCATTAGGGTTACCTGAGTAATATATATGATGATCATTAATTTTACATTGCCCAGAGTTCGTCCATCTTATCTCACTTATTCCCATTATGTCTATTGATAGTCTATCCATCTCCTTGATTGCATTATGAGTCTTGCCTGCCTCATATAATATTTTAACATTCCATGTGCAGATCGTGAGGTTTAACTTTATATTATAATGGCAATTTAATTGGATTTCTTCTGCTGGCGATCGAGAAGGCCTTGCCGTCTTGTGATTGTCCTTCTCTGTCGGATCTTGGTATCCGAATTACATGATCAGTAATATGGTTTCTATGATAACACGTAACACGTATAGGAACAAATAATTTATTCACATTTCGCGTTTTCACGTAACAAATTTTTTATATGATATATGCAAAGAATTTTTCATATTTTGCGATTTTTATTAAGTTGTTAATATATTGTTGTAGGCTGACGATGCAACAGAACAGAAGAGAACAGAGGAATTCGAAAACTTACAGGAAAATTTAAACACTTGTCAGCAGAATTTGGGCCTGCTACCTAGTGACATTCAAACCAAAGGGTATGCTCACGTAAAAGAGGAGGACAAGGATTACATAGGAGCCATTATGCTCTGTGTATATACCAAAGTAGGTGTTATGTCAGAAAATGGAGATTTAATTGAAGCAAGAGTTCAGAGTCTTTATACTAATCTACGAGGGGACTCACACCGTACAAAAGAAACAATACAAAAAATTTTGAAGGAATGTAAGCCAAACGATAATGATTCTCCTAAGCGTAAAGCTTTCTCTTATGAAGCGTGTTTAGATAGATTAAATTAATGCGTGTAAGTTAATGCGTTAAGTCCATTTTTCATTTTATTAAACTCTAATCCTTATATTAGAAGATGTAAATTTGAATTAAACTATAATAAAAATTTACTCTTCAAACGTATCCTTTTTTATTAAATGCATCAACCACTGAGGATTATACTCTGCTCAATATAGATATTTTCAAAAATTCCCGTAAAGCCAAATATAGGAATATTGGTGAAGAGCTGGGGTTTACCACTACAAATAAAGTTTTAAAAATCCCCATCGATCGTAGGGTATAATAATATAATAATAAGTAGTAGGGTATAATAATATAATTTTAAGCTATACAGTGATTGGCCACTATTAGTTATTAGCACATTGTCGGTTTTTTACATTATTTTAAGAATATAACGAAATTCACTGACAAATGTTATTATTTTATGATAGAGGCAACCATGTACAAAATAGTATCTGACTTCATTTTATTGCACTACCTAACCTTAAACAATTATCGACAGATCTATCAGATGGTGTGTTGTGTATCAACATTTTTTATTAAAAATACTAAGAATCGTAAAAACCGATAGTATTGGAAGAAAGGATATTTTATAAGGTAGATTTTGTTATATAAAATTTATAGTTTTAAGTTATTTTATTATGTTTAAAATGACTAAATGTAAGTCAATAATTGCATGAATGTGCTTCGTTTGTATTAAATTATCTATGCCAATCACTGGTTCTAATTTCTTTATATTAGACAGTTATTGTCCACCTGGCCATTCACTGTAAAAATACATTTTATTGATAATATTTTATGTTTAGTGATTGGCACATGGGTACATAGATATTTTTTTTGTAGATGCCCAAAGTAAAAGAGGGTGCACATTACGAAAAAAAATATGCCGAAGAAGATGTTTTGCTTCCGTTGAAGGCCATCGAAAATGGGATGACAGAAAGAAAAGCTTCCCAAATATTTTAAGTATCATGTCAAACTTTTCAGTTTAGAAAAAGTGATAAGTTTACTAATAAGATAACTTTGGGACCAAGCAGTATTTTGAATAATAAGGAGAAAGCTATTTTAGAAGAATGGATATTGACAAGTTACAAAAAGGAGTTTCCAGTTAGGAAAGTAGATATTCAAGCTTCTGTTAAGGAATTTTTAGATTCAAACCCACGTGAAAATCCATTTCAGGACAATTTTCCTGGAGAAGGCTGGTATCCAGGCTTTCTTAAGCGACATGAAATTTTAACTCACCGAACACCAGAAGCAGTTACTTCGGCTAGTTCAGTTGTTTCCGAAGGAGATGTTCGTAAATGGTTTTCTTTAGTCGAGGAATATTTAAAAAGTAAAAATTTAGATTATATTCTGCAAGACCCCACTAGAATTTTTAATGTGGATGAAACATGTTTTTATCTGTGCCCAAAAAATTTTAAAGTTATTGCGCCTCGTGGAGCACGAAATGTTTATGAGGTAGATTCTGGTCAAGCAAAAATGAATATCATCGTGATGTTTACCTTTTCTACATCTGGTCAAGTAACTGATCCGATGCTTATTTATCCATACAAAAGACTTTCGACTTCTATAGTTAATTCAGTGCCTTCTTCTTGGGGAATTAAACATGGTGATAATGGTTGGATGAAAGTTGAGTTATTTTACTAGTATATTGGTAATGTTTTGTATCTATATTTAAAAAATAGCACTACTTTTCCAATAATCCTTTTTGTAGATGGCCATTCTACACATCAAACACTAAAGTTGAGTCAACTGTGTACGGAACTACAGATAATTTTAATATCGTTGTATCCCAACGCAACACGGTTAATGCAACCAGCAGATGTTGCTGCATTCAAACTGTTAAAAACTGGTTGGAAAAAAGCAGTGTTAGACTTTAGAAAAAAACATCCCCATGAAATGCTGACGAAAGAAAAATTTGCACTAGTCCTGAAAGGTGTCATAGAAGACTATGCAAAAGCTGAAACTATAAAAAATGGGTTTAGAGCAAGTGGATTATATCCATGGAACGGATCAGGTATCGACTTTACCAAATGTCTTGGAACAAAAAAGGAAACTAAAATATATTCAGATACAAACGTAAAGAAAAAAGGTTCACTTAATATTCCGTTTATCTCTTTTAATCAATTTAAGGAAATAGTTGGCGAAGAGAGAATAGCCATATTTAAAAAAAAATGATCAGTTTGACGAAGCAAGTCATGATGAGTTTATCTTGTTATATAAATTATATAAAGAATTTGAAAAGAGCAATAGCCATCTTAATACGGAAATTCGTGACGATTCAGAAAACCTAGAAATCAGTACAGTGGACACAGAAATAGAAAATATGGAAATTATTTTCGACGAAAATATACTTTTTAGACTAGATGTAAATGAAGAGGAAAAAAGCAACCAACATTTATCACGTGACAATCATTGCGAAGAAACTGTGGAGACAGGGGAAGGATTACAAAAAAATGTAGCACACGAAGGGCATGTAGAAGAATTACTTATACAGGAAAATAAAAAAGAAATTCGGCCTTTACCAGAAGCTATGGAAACAAATGATGTATTAGATGAAAATTTAACACAGGAAAAATCTGTAGAAAATTATCTAATAAGGAAAATAAAGAATAAACCCAGTCTTTAGAAGAAACTGTGCTGACAAGTGATATATTACAAAAAATTTTAACCCAGGAGGTGCCTTCAGTTCAAGAATCATTTATAGAGGACAATAAAGAAAATACCCAAAATAATAGAAGCATTCGAGATTTCGTTATTTGGTCTAAAACACCAGAAAGAAAAGGAAAAAGGATTGCCAACGATTACCGTTTGTTTTAACTAGTTCAGGATGGAAAAGAATTCAGATGGAGAAATTGGCAAATAAAAAACAAGAACAGAAAAGAACAGAAACACGTAAAACAGAAAGATTATCCACGTAAAAAGAAAAAGTATCAAAAAAAATTGGGAGAAAAAACATCAAAACGTGAAAGAAAACAAAAATAAAACTAAATCACAATCTAAAAGACCCAAACTGGACATTGACTGCCTGAACAAATACGATAATGCAGCAGGGACAAGCGGATTAATCAATTACAAAAATACCTCAACGTCACGTACGAAAAGTATTCAGTAGTTCTGAAAGTGATGATGAACCCCAAAAGAATAAGTTTGTTTATAATTCAATAGGTGTCGGAAAACTTTGTTTCATTTGTACGAAAAATATTACAAATTCAAACAAAGGTATCCGATGCTACAAGTGCAGCCGAACGTATCATAATTTGTGCATTATAAAAATTAGTCCTTCAGTAGATAAGGATAATAGTATATTACTTTATGAAGCGGAGAAGCATGACTTTTCTTGACGCGCCCGATATTCACCTCTATAATAGAGAAATTGTAACTATTAGCACTTAGCCATTATGAAAATTACATTTTAATAATCATAAACTACTAGTAAGTTTAATAAATGCCATGAGCTACTTGAGAAACCCCCAAAAATTATATTTTTCATCATCGTCATCCTTTACAAAAGTAACTTTGATGTGATTTTTATTTGATTTTCTTTTATTCCAAACGCTTTTTCTAAATAACTATAAGCGTAATAGCGCTTATATTAAGTAATAGCGTAAGTTTAACTAAAGCTAACGAAGAAACATTTTTATACTAGCAAGTTAAAAATGTAAAAAGTTTTTGATTTCATGCTGCCCATAAATAACGAGATCCGGTAATTATTTTTATGGATTTTAATTAATTGTTTTTAGTTTATAGACTTTTTTTAATTAAAATAATTATAAAAAATCGATAATGTGCATTATGTGGGACTGTCTAAAAGCACATTAACGATGCAGACGCAAGTTTTAGTATAAAAAATCATCTTTCTAGTACACACACTTAAAATACTCAGTAAACTATAAAATGCGAGGCACTACGTCTATTGCAAAAAAACATGTGTGACAGACCTAATTATATTTTCAATATGAAGAAATTAATAATGTTTGTTATTGCTGTTTTTGTGGTTGTTTTGGTAAGAATATGTTTGATGAATTTGAATATGCTTCTATTTTTCATATAGTTATTATTTTCTGATTTTTTTTATTGGTATCCCATTTTTCTTATTTATAGTACGCCTCAGCATGTTTAAATTTAACTTTCAAAAACGCGCGTAATTTATAGTTCCATGGTACCATCAACAGTTTTAAATATTAATCTGGCCTGACAGGAGTACATATCTTGTTACGTTCTTCTTCTTCGCGTGCCATATCATAATTATCCGACGTTGGCGATCACCATTGCGAAGGTTTCTCGATCTTCTGCAATATGGAATAATTGTCCTGCATTTGATATCTGAGTCCATTCATAAATGTTTTTTAACCAAGAAACTTGTTTTCTTCCTACACCTCTACGGCCCTCTATTTTGCCTTTAAGGATCAGTTGTAATATTTTATATCGACTTCCCCTCACTATATGTCCCAGATAAGACAACTCTCGATGTTTAACAGTCTTTAGCAGTTCTCTATCTTTGTTGACACTCCTTAGTTCAATTTTGTTCATGATCTATACTTTTAGCGTCCACACTTATGCACTATACAAAAGTACGGACCAAACATAGCACTTAACCATTCTTTGCCTTAGTTCTAAACTGAGATGGTTATTGCAAAAAAATGACTTCAATTTCATAAAAGTAGTTTTAGTCCTTGCTATTTTACGTTTTATTTCTATGTCTGGACGCTGTCTTGGAGTCCGTTTAATTGAAGCTTTGCATCGGGATGTGGGTCACGACTAAACACTAAAAATTTGGTTTTGTTTGAATTTATTTTTTCAATAATATCTGATAGAATTACTGTTCCCCGTTGATTTTTATTCCATATGGTTATTTCTCAAGTGCCTTTTAAATAACTGGTCCGAGTAAACATTGAACAATGTTGGTGATAAAATGCAACATTGTCTGACTCCTCGTTGTATAGAGATTTCATCGGTGTAGTTATCTTTAGTTTTTACAATAGCAGTTTGATTCCAGTACCTATCCAGAATATCCTTGTCATCTATTCCGATATTTTTCAGTATTTGCATTAATTTTACAAGCTGTACATATCGAATGTCTTTTCGAAGTCCACAAAACATGCAAATACATCTTTTCTTTGGTCTAGGCATAACATTTCTAAAACCAAATTGGATATCTTCAAGATCTTCCTCGTATTTGCGTGTAATTCTGTTGTGAAGTACTCTTGGGAAAATTTTAAGAGTGTGGCTCATTAGGCTAATTAATCGACATTCTGAGCATTTTCTCACATTATGTTTTTTTGTTATTGTGACAAAAATGAATTTGAGCCAATCTGTGGGAATCACTCCGGTGTTATATATTGAATTAAAAAGCCTTATTACTATTTTTATGTTATCATTCTCTATTAGTTTCAGGAACTCAGTTCGTGTATCATCTGGACCACAAGATTTTCTAATTTCAGCATTATTTATAGCGTGTTCTACCTCGCATTTCATAATTTCTGGGCCGTCAGTACAGTTTTGGTAGAATTCATCTATATTATTCCTGCCATCTTCAAACAACTCTGATACAGCTTCCATTATTTTCTTCTTGCGTGCTCATTTAAAATAATTTTGCTATTATTGTCAACGAGTACAGAGGGAACTCGTTTTTTATATATGTTACTCATTTCTTTTAGTTTTTTGTGCACATTAAATAAGTCGTGTCTAGATATTACATCCTCCATTTCGTCGCACCTTTCTCTCATCCATTTTTCTTTGGCTAATTTGATTTCCTTTTTTATTTTTCTCTGCAGGTGTCTATATTCTATTTCATTAGATTTTATCAGTCGAACTTGTTCCATTAATTTCAAGATGTCGTCTATCATCCATTTATTTATTTATTTTTTTTTATTAAGTTTTTTCTATAATCATTGTTTATGGAGATTTTGTTAACTTTTTTAAATTCACTCCATAGTTCTTCTGGATCTTCTAGTTTTTCTTCGATGATTTTTATTCTATTATTAAATTATTTTTTAATGTTATGTTTTATGTTTATATCGTCAAAGTTAAGTACATTGGTTTTTATCACGTTAAATAAATAAAATATGATGAAATACAAAATGTTTCAAAAGCTTTATTAAGATATATTTTTTTTATTATTGAGTTAATGCCTCGACAACTAAGATCATTGGCATGGTACAGTCAGGTACCTAGTGTAGTGTGTGTGTAGAGTAATTGTCTTGATACTTAGCAAAGTCGACGTCATTGTCTTTGCTAAGAGACGCTAATTGTATCCGAACTTCTGCGGTCCCTCCGGTGAGTACCGGTCGCATAAGGATAGAAATTATTTTCATTTATTAATTTTTAATAAACGAAAATTTCTCCACCCAGATGAGATTCGAACTCACGACCTTTAGGTTTAAAGGTAGGCGATCTTACCACTGAGCCACAGAGGGGGTTATTAAGATATTTAAAAATCTTAATTTTTTAAACGAATGTGAAAAATACAGTTGCTCTTGTGTGAAATATTTAATATTGTAATTTTAAATTTGAATTTAATATTGTAATGAATACTAATGACATTCTCGGAAAGTAATGGGGTTGTTCTTCCATTAATGACACTCTCAATAACGTTTAAAACATTATTGTAATTAGTAATACTCTCTTACACTTTCAACCATGCAGCCAATCCAATTACCCAGATATCTAAAGTGTTCCACCCTTTACATGATTTTGTTATCTGATTTAGAACTGAGTCTTCGATATTAATTTTTCCGACCACCATTCATTTTGTTTTCTTTGCGTTCATTGTTAGGCCTTTTCAGTGCATTCGTTGTTAACAGCGTTCAATAAAGCTTGAAGGTTTTCTAGACTTTCTGCCATTATGGCGGTGTCATCTACGTAATTGATGTTACTAATAATTTCACCACTGATTTTAACCCTTCGCAACCATTATTAAACGCTATCTCAAAACTTGTTCAGTGTAGGCATTAAACAACATCAGCACATCCCTGTCTAACACCACGCTTAATAGAAACATTATTTTTATTTTTATTACTTTGCCATAATCTTTGAGAGGCTGTTAACTTAACATAATGAACGTACTATATTTGTGAACACTCTATAACTATGATTTAGATTATATTCTAAAAAAATTTCACAATGTTTGCAGGCTGATACCACAAAAGAACAAAAGAGAAAAAAGGAAATGGATAATTTGGGAGAATATTTAAATACGTGTCAGCACGATTTCGGTCTGTTACCGGGTTACATTCTTACTAAAGGATATAAAAACGTAAAAAAGGAAGACGAGAAGTATGTAGGAGCCATTATGCTCTGTGTGTATCGCAAAGTAGGTCTTATGTCAGAAAACGGAGATTTAATTGAAGACAGAGTTCACAGCTTTTACATAAATCTACGAGGAGATTCCAGACGCTCAAAAGAAAATATAAAGAAAATTTTGACGATATGTACACCGCCTATTAATGATACTCCTCAGTATAAAGCTTTCTTTTATGAATCTTGTTTAGACAAACACAAATTAACACGTTAGGAGTATTTTTCACTATAATAAACATTTACTATGTAATCCCAACTTTATTTTTACCAATTAATCAATTTAGTTATTAAGGGTGATTACACTCTAGGGTTTAAGGGGATTACGAGGGATTAACCCATTAGCACCCATGATATCTGATTTTAAGAATTAATATATTTTACATTAGATATTTATTAGTAGTGGTATTTGTGACAAAACTTCAAATATATAAAAAAAACACTATATTTGAAAAAAAATAAAATTACATTTTACTATGAAAAAGACTAAGTAGGCTCATCGCATGCGTATGTGGGAAGAGTGTGAAAATGAAACGAATTTATTGACCAAGATGATTCAGAGACAGAAGACAATATTAATAATGTAAGTATTAACAGCGATTATTCCGATATGGAACAAGAACCCGAAGAAGAGAATGGAAATCAGCATGCTGTTGTGAAGAGTATCAGACAAGGTTGGTCCGGAAAGAATGGAATGAAATGGGGTAAAGAATCAAATAACTGAAATGTTCGAGAGAAGAATACCGGGGGTCAAAAAGCACGCAAAGCATGCCAAGACGCCAATTGAGTGCTTCCTGCTATTTATTGATGGGCAAATGATTGCTGACTTGGATAAGCATACTAACCAACGAATTACAGAAAAATCTGAAAGTTGGAAGAACTCTCCAAATTATGAGAATAAATCTGTGATAGAAATCAAGGTTGTATTGGGGGTCCTTTACCTATCTGGTGCATTCAGAAAAAATAATCATATTCATCAATATGAATTTGTGGAACACTGACGGAACAAGAATGGACATTTTCCGTTGCACACTGAGCCAACATTGATTCGAATTTTGAATTTCATATCCAAACAAAACCGTAAAGAAAGAGTCAAGTTAGATAAACTAGCTCATATCAGAGCGTTCTTCGACAGGTTTGTGGAAAATTGCAAATTTGCATATTCTCGCTCTGATTTTTTGACAATTAACGAGAAGCTTAAATTGTTCAGAGGGAGATGTGCTTTCAGGCAATATATGCCAAATAAGGCATCGAAGCACATATGAACTACCTACTCAATATGGAGGTGTATGTGGGACAACATCCGAAAGGTATATTCCGAACCAAACGCAATAAAACGTTTGATAATTGGTACACTAGTCATGATCTCTTGACGAAGATGCGTGAGATTCATAATTTAACTGCAGTGGGTAATATCAGGAAAAATAAGCCTGATTTGCCCATAAAATTCCTGCAAGGGAAAGGAAAAGAAGTTTTTTCCAGTATATTTTGATTTCAGAACGGATACACTATTCTTTCATATGTACCAAATAAAAGAAAAGTTGTTTTACTTGTATCGTCTCTACCCCATGATACATCATAATAAGCTGGCAGAAATTATTTCCTTTTATAATTCGACCAAAAGCGGAGTTGACGTAGTAGACGAGCCATCTGCAACATATAATGTACCACGCAACAATCGTCGCTGGCCTTTGACAAATTTTTTCTCTTTAATGAACACTGCATGAATTAATGGCCAGATCATTCACGGACAAAAAAAAGCGATACTCATAACATTGCCAGGAGGCTTTTCCTAAAGAAACTTCCAATTTTTATCCAATTTATCGAAGAACATCAAAGAAAAATAATGAATAATCCCAGATTATCTAGAGAGTTGAGAAGCAGTATCCAAAAGATTTTAGATGAAAATTCCGAACCATCTGCAAAGAAGAGGAAACCAATCAGCAGGGACGATGTTCAAAATGTCCCAGAAATAGAGACAGGAAAACTAGATACGTGTGGGAGGCATATGACTTTTTATTGTGTTTAGAACACTGTGTAACATATTGCGAAAATTTCTCCAACTTTAAGAACTGATAACTCAATAATAAATCTGTAGAATTTGATTCTGTTTTTCTTGTATACGCTAGATACTCCTTCTATTCTGCCCTCCTTAGCCAAAAGGACGTATCTCAAAAAACCTAAATTTTCACAATTCACGCTTTTGTTATATTTTCATCAGCACGCTCATTACTTATTTTAATATTTTTCAATTTTAACTGCCTTAAAGTGTGTTTTATAATACAATTATATTTTAGATTACTGAATTTGTTAAAATTTTCGGGAACACTAACTTTGTCACTAACTTTTTGGGAACACTTGTGAAGGCATTCAGGATTACAACCTGGTTTTACTGAATGTTTTTCCATCATTACATTGAGCTTCTGTTTCTTCGTTTCATCTACTGTTAAGTAATATTTTTCTCTTTTTCGGATTGTACCTTTTTTGGTGTATTGATCAGTTGTAGTAGGTCTAACACTATTTTTATTTTCTAAAGGGACTTCTAATTCCAAGTTCTCATTAGTTACATTGTGGGGTTAGTCTCAATTACTACACCTTGGTCTAGTAGTTGAACAGTTGTACTTGACTTAAAACTACTCTCATTTTTTGTTAATTCAAAATTTAAAATAAAACCTAACCTCCAACTACAAACACTGAGATTCAAATGAAAATAAATCAGCTGAGTTAGGTACTCTCGCGCTCGCGAATTTTTGAGGTCAATACTGATGCAAAAATAATTTGGTGGCATCTGTGAAAATGGTGTTTGGAGGAGGAGATACAACTACGAGGTATACCACAGATATAAACAAATATTTGGTGGTAAAGGCATAGTATCTCTTATAAAATAGGAAGATTAAGATGGGCAGGACATCTAGCAAGATCACAGCAGAACAACCCTCCTAGAAGAATCCTTATGTCACAACCCGTGGGAAGCAGAAAAAGAGGTAGGCCAAAACTCAGATGGAAGGATGGTGTAGATGAGGATGGTAGAATGATAGGCGCAGCAAACTGGCAACGGTTGGCAATGGATAGGACTGCCTGGCGTAATAGACTTGGGAAGGTCGAGGCTCTTTCATAGGGCTGTAGCACCATTGATGATGATGATGACTGATGCAAAAATAAAGAAAGTCTTATAAGGATTACTATAAATTTTAATTTTTGTGGAAATGGTGTATGTTTTATTTTTCACTTTTTCCAAAAAAAATCGAAAGGGTCCTCTTATTTTCATCATAACTTGCTAAATTTTGATACTATCAACTTCTTGTAAAGCTCATTTTATAGGTATTTCTGAATACTTTGAAAATGTTTAATAAGTATATTTTATAAAATTCATTGTTTTCACGTTATTTAAGCTAGAATATTCAGATTTGAGTACTCGACGAAAAAAAATACATTTAATTACCTATAACTCACTTTAAATTAATATTAAAAGGTTTTTCAAGCAAGGAATTTATTTAATTTTTTATTAGCTACAATATTGGTAATAACAACTTTTTTATAAAAACTTAGAGCTTTTGAGTTATTTATGAAAAACCGCATTAAAACATGCATTTTTTTATGAAGAATCAAAATCTTTGATCTTCAATAACTCAAAAAGTATTGATTTATTTTAATAACTTTATCAGATAAATTTTATTTAGATTTGGTCCCTCTATCGATTCCTGGGGTTATTTTTAATAAAATAATTTCCACCCACGAGAAGGGGTGGCATCCACCCCCAGGGTAAAAGCGAAAGGTATCGTCCAACTACTCACCAATTTTCATGAAAATCGATGGAGGTTCAACGAAATCGGAGTGAAAACCTTCAGTGATTGTACTAACACTAAAGTGAAAAGCACAGAAAATAACAAAAATTTGAAATACGCTCTTTTGGCTTAGGAGAGCAATATTGTAGTTTCTTGTTTTCATACTATTTCATATATGTTCAATAGTAAAATATTATTAGCAAATGTTCTTCTGGAATTTATTACCGTAATATATCCTGAAGCTATAGTTTTACATAATAATAATAGTCTCCCGTTTTATACCGCACGCGGCTTTGGGAGTATAGCAGGGTAGTCTGCTATATCTAGGGCCTACGGTATACAAGGAAGGTAACATGGCCAGTGCTACGCTTCAACCGCCTATTATTACCCCTGGTTTTACCCAAGGTACTCATTTTATTCAGGCTGAGTCGTCCTGGGGCCTATAGACATTTTAAAAATGCCTAGTTGTTCTTGCCGGCGGTAGGATTCGAACTCACGACCACCGGCATGCGAGGCAAGCACACTACCGCTTGACCTACGCGGGCCCTTAGTTTTACATACTATTATGAAAATCTACGAGATATAGTAGAGTATAATTTTCAACTTGGGAATTTGTCACACCCCACGTGTTGAAGAGTGTTACAAAATTTCACCTGTCGGATGCCGGGTTAAGGGATAGCCTATGTAAAAATACCGATAAATATTGACATAAGCATCAAAAGAATTCAAATGTTTTAAATCTATGTAGTAATAGTAATTTTTATGCTCTTGTCTAAAACATTATAATTAATTCTAAATTAAATCCTAATTACCATCATACACATAACAATATACTAATAATTAAGATAATAATTGGTAAACAGTAAATAATTTCTAGAAATTGTTATAGAAACCACAATTGCTTCTATTAGGTAAGACTTTGTTATGGATCTTACCACAGGTAAATGGATCGATGATTAATACTTTATTTAGACATATTGTGAAATAAAAAGGTTTCCGATATAAGTAAGGGTTAAAATTAACTGCTGAATCACCGAGCTATTCATAGGTATGAACTAGAGTAAACTTCTGGAAAAAAGTTTGTTTGCTTCTCTGAATATCACTTACAATCGATAGCGGCATTACCTTTTTGTGTATTGGTCATTAACTTTGACAGAAGGCCAAGAATTTCGAACTTTTTGATGAATCATACTTTTTAAACGATATAAATAAGTAATTAATTATATCTTTAAAAATCTTGGAGTCCAATATTTAGTTTGGAGGTAAAGGGGGGTTTGGTGGACAATTGAGGTCAATGAGACTGATTTTTGTGTGTTTTGATTCGCTGAATCCGAATCTTCAACATGATAATCCGAATTTTTGGACAGGAATTTGTAAACAATAACAATTTAATTATTTAAATGATTTTAACTAATAAACTAATACAGATATCAGATTTTTTTTAAAGCACGTTTTGTTTCTTTTAA